TTTAAAATAAAATTCAGGATCTATAAATTAACATTGTCTTCTGAATATTTCTAAATTGTATAATATAATTTAATATACAATTTAATTAGGTCCTTGCTGAGTGGAAACAGAAGTATGAGGAGTCCCAGGCAGAGCTGGAAAGTTTCCAGAAAGAGACTCGTTCTCTCAGCACTGAGCTCTTCAAACTGAAGAACTCTTATGAAGAATCCCTGGACCATCTGGAGACCATGAAACGAGAAAACAAGAATCTCCAAGGTAGGAAGATATAATTAAAACATGATTTACCTTTAAACATACACTGAATAGAGTGGGGAGGTAGGGCCGATGATAAAATAAAAATGTGCACAAAACAGAGGAAATTTCTGACCTGACTGAGCAACTTGGTGAGGGAGGAAAGAGCATCCACGAGCTGGAGAAGATCCGTAAACAGCTGGAGCAGGAGAAGGCTGAGATACAAGCTGCTCTGGAGGAAGTGGAGGTGAAATAAATTTTTCATTGATCAATTCATTATAATTACCTCTCTGATGCTTTGAAAGATATGATTTGCTGTTTTTAACAGGGTACCCTCGAGCATGAGGAGAGTAAGATTCTCCGAGCCCAGCTTGAGTTTAACCAGGTGAAGGCTGAAATTGAGCGGAAGCTGGCTGAGAAGGACGAAGAGATGGAGCAGGCCAAGCGTAACCATCAGAGAGTGGTGGACACGCTGCAGAGCTCCTTGGAGGCCGAGACTCGCAGCAGAAACGAGGCTCTCAGGGTGAAAAAGAAGATGGAGGGAGATCTCAATGAGATGGAGATCCAGCTGAGCCAGGCCAACAGGCAGGCAGCAGAGGCTCAGAAGCAGCTCAAGGGAGTCCATGCTCATCTGAAGGTAAGTCCGTACGTCGTACCAATGATGGGAGCTTGCTTGGAGATTGTTTCCTTTCCATTTAAGGATAGAAAGAATGTTATTATTGTTCCCGACAGGACTTGCAGCTGCAGCTGGATGATGCTCTTCGTGCCAATGAGGATCTGAAGGAGAACATTGCCATTGTGGAGAGACGTAACAACTTGCTGCAGGCTGAACTTGATGAGCTGAGGTCTGTGGTGGAGCAGACTGAGAGAGGTCGTAAACTGGCAGAGCAGGAACTGCTTGATGTCAGTGAGAGAGTTCAGCTGCTGCACTCTCAGGTATGTCCAAATCGGTAATCACTTTACAGTGTAATAATATGCTAATATGTCCACGTTCTTTCTACAAGCGTTTACTGTAAAACTATTCTGTGCAGAACACCAGCCTGCTGAACCAGAAGAAGAAGCTGGAGGGAGACACCACCCAGCTTCAGAGTGAGGTGGAGGAGGCGGTGCAGGAGTGCCGAAATGCTGAGGAGAAGGCGAAGAAGGCCATAACTGATGCTGCCATGATGGCAGAGGAGCTGAAGAAGGAGCAGGACACCAGCTCTCACCTGGAGCGTATGAAGAAAAACATGGAACAAACCATCAAAGACCTGCAGCACCGTCTGGATGAAGCTGAGCAAATAGCCATGAAAGGTGGCAAGAAGCAGATCCAGAAGCTGGAGGCCAGGGTGAGTTTTTCTAACTTCCACTATATTGCCTTTAAGTACTAATCTACAACACAGGATATCTGGCTTCAACAAATTTATAAATCTGCATCCATAACGGTTCTTTTCAAGGTGAGAGAACTGGAAAATGAGGTGGATATGGAGCAAAGGAAAAGCAGTGAATCAGTGAAAGGTATCCGCAAGTACGAGCGGCGCATCAAAGAGCTCACCTACCAGGTATACACTACAAACACAATGACAATGTGATAAACATTCACCAAAAGATAAAAGCTCATGCTTAAACAAGTAATATGTGTGGTGTAATTATTAAACAGACAGAGGAGGACAAAAAGAATATAAACCGTCTGCAAGACCTGGTGGATAAGCTGCAAATGAAAGTTAAATCCTACAAGCGAACTGCAGAGGAGGCTGTAAGTGAAAATATGACAGGACACTTCATTAAAATTCACTAAGTAATTTTTATGGGTCAGCTTGTGTTATAGCCTTACTTTAACAATCCACCATTAATTATGTTTTTTTAGGAGGAACAGTCCAATTCAAATGTGGGCAAATTGCGCAAGCTACAGCATGAGCTTGAGGAAGCAGAGGAGAGGGCTGACATCGCAGAGTCTCAGGTCAACAAATTGAGAGCAAAGAGCCGTGATTCTGGTGCCAAGGTCAGCAATCAGTCCAAATAATGAAACTTTTATTTAGTAACTATATCTTGGAATCCTGGAATCATAAAATGCACAGTGAGTAACTTTAATTAACTGAGTAACTGATATGGCAGGAATAAAAAATTAAAGATGATCTAACTTTTTTCTTTCTTTGTATAGAAAGCACACGATGAAGAGTGAAGCCTTAAATGGGATCTTCAAGGATATATTTTAATTGTAGTATTTTAGTTCCTTTATTCTTCATGCAACATGAGTGGAATACTGATTAAATGCATTTGAATGCAAAACTGTTCATGTTTCTTGTATTTTATACCTGCATACCTGGAGGAAAATTATTTAAAGAAAAGACTAAGAACTACACCACCACACTACAAATAACTGCACTGAGGTAGCAACTGTATTAAAAACTAATGCAGCACCCCCTAGCAACAGTATCCTAATGACAAAATGAAAACTGAGTTTCTCTTCATGTTTAGACATGAGAACAGTGGAAGAGTTCAAATATTTGCTCCTTTTGTAAGACAATATCCTGCACAGCTGAGACTGAGCCCCAACAAAGCCAAGCTCAAAACAGCTGCAGCAGTCTTTGAGACCACTCACGAGACTTATTAAGCATCATGAGTGGGTAAAGATTAGATGAAGGTCAGAAAAAGTCAAACTGATTAGAAAGAGTTGTGCATGATAGGTGTCTTTTATCTCCTCTAATCATGACTGCAAAAAGCTGCTCACGGCATTTCACTTTATAATCAAGATATTGGAGGTAGGTCACATGACCTTAAACCATGAACCTTTAAGTCAGTTCAGTTAATACTGTTTCTCATACTGCAAACATAGCGGCAAATGTGATATGCCCCTATGCTGTACATGATTATTCTACCTAAAAAAGTAAATATGTAAACCAGGTGACCAATAGCTTACAGACATAAACAGCTGAAGTGAACTACGCTCAGCCACCACTAGATGGTCAAAGAGCTCCACTCACAATAATTTATTTCTCCCTGATAATGAGGATAGGATAATAGTAAATTAAGGAAAATCAATAAAATCCAGTTTCAGTTTCCAGTGTTAAACATTTGTTATGAGATTCATGGTAATTTTATAATATACTTATGACCACAATTGTCACAATGAAACATTCATAAATTCTTGAATGCATATCTTATTAAATCATGAAGTCATATATAAGGAGTCACTCATGTCTAGTGCAGTGGTTAATGTGCAATAATAATGACAAACATCATTCAGAGGAGCAAAATCACTTTTGTTAATTACATTTAAAATAGATTTCTTACTGTGTAACAAATTCAATACTTGGATTTGGTTTAGAGCTATCACCAAGTATTACGGTGCAATTACACCGTAATACAGTGGAATAAGGCTGGAGAGAAGTTACTGTGCTGTAACATATTCATTGATTACATGTTGAAATTATATTACATCTCTGTGTTTAACTAAATAGGATTATCAACCAAACAAACAAAAAAGAAGGGAGCAGTTATTTGCTTTTTGTATCTTAAAAAAATAAATCACACTACATCATTTCATAAGAATATGTATGATAAGTATGATAATATTGTTATAATAGAGCATTAAATTAGTGTTCAAAGCAGTTCCCCTTGTTTGGTAACCTATTTTGTTTACTTTGAACAACTGTACCTGCTATATGGTCTGCACAGCCCGAATATACATGGATGTACCCTGGTTGTTTGATGCCACACCATGACCATGCCCTGTGCTGCAATCCCTCATGTGAAAATAAACCTGTTTATTGTTAATTGAAGCAAGCTGATACTGCTGCCGTGTACATTTTGTAGCTTTCATACACAGCCTGCAGCGTAACAGCTTTATGTAATGAGATCTCAAATCTTACTTTTTCTTCAAAGCATTTGATAAAATGGTTTCTTTCTTATTAGGATCAACTTAATTTAATTTGGGTTGTTGATTTGTTTAAAGTAAGAATTAAGTTAAGACGTTTTTACATGCAAAAAAAACAAATAAATGTCACACATTCAGTTAACAAGCCAAGTAAATCCCACTACATTCCTAAAGACCAAATCAGTAGCCTATTGCAGCCCATAAATACTGTTTCTTGTGGTCTTTATTACTGTACAAAACACAAGATAAACTCTGTGTTGTACCACCCATAAACTCAGCAACAAGTCTTTACTCAAGAGAACCCAGGGTTGGATGTAACCAGTACTGCACTTTTCTTACGATGACATAACATGGAAAAACAGATTCATCTTTGCTCTGAAGAACATGACGTATGATGTGAAGGACCCAGGCCTTTCCCAGCTTATGTCATGGCTAATAATACGAAGCAAATTGTGTTGTCTCAGTGTGAATGTCTCTCTGGTGAAAATCATACAGAGAAGAGAACATACAGCATACAAAGTACACTGCCAGCAAACATCCACATGCAATAAAGATTAAACTCAGTACACCCAGTCTAATGGACGTTTTATCTAACCATCACCATAACAGTTTGTGTTGCCACAGCTAAGAACAAAAGGGAACACCCACTTGAATAATGTGAACAGCCCCACCTATAGCAGACACAATATAAAGTAGATAGCATCCAGCAAAGCACTGTGAATAATATAGTTCGTTAGTTTATTAAAAAACTCCCTGCAGACAGGAATGTAGCCTCGGGCAGCAAGTCTTCTGTTTGTCATGCCAATCCTCAGCAAACCTTTTAACTTATTATGGCATGCAAATAAGCGATGGGAAACACAAATTTGTTAAGCAGAAACACAAATTTAACACAAACATAAATCCAAAAGCATTATTTCTTGTTGGAAATATAACATTTATTTATAAAACAGATATATTAAGACTTTAGATTGTCAATGTGCAAATAGGAACAAGCACTGTGTATAGCACTTTACAATGTTTGAAAACAGATGTTAATGCTAACACACATTATGATTAGATTTGATCCCAGAATACAAAACACTTGGACTTAAACTGCCCTTTAAACAATGCAGCAAAGAAAATAAATTGTACCTGCTTTATGCCTACAACATTTACCATTATTAATTTCAATCTTAGAAAAAAACATATAATGAAATATCATTTGTCCGTATTACCTCAGCACTACTTATTAAGTAGCAGGATGAAATGCAAACCAAAAGATAAGCCTTATGTTAAAATCCAGACCGTATACAGTAGTTTGATCAATTTAACAACTGAACAGATGTACATCCCTCACTGATGCCATGCAACTGTAACTGTTAAATGTTTGCTATCCCTAGATTGTATATCTGCAGTCCACTGTACATACGTTATCATCATTAAACCTATGCAGATAATCATGCTTGCTCATTTAATGTCTTTTTTACATGAAAACAACCACCACTTTTAAAAGTAAATCATGCAGGCAACAAACTGTCCCTACTGACCTCACATCTTCTTTGTGACAATGACAGTAAACTAAAATAAAGGTGACAAGCAGAAATCACTTTACATAATAGATTTTTCTTCTTGTGGATGTTTCTCCACTTTTTCTAGATACTGAAGACCAGGATTACTGAGACTAGACAGCAGGGAGGACTTTCAGCAATGTTGCTTTTACAATTCTGTCTCTTTTTCTTCATCTTCACCTGTTTCTAAGTAATATTCATCATCTGTTGTCGTGTCTGAGCTGCTGTCTGAAGACTCCTCAAAGGTGCTAAGGCTGGATACATAACCTCTGGAGGGCAAATGCCCTCTGGAGGACTGGTTGTCCACTTGTTGTGGTTCTCCTGATGAGCTGGGAAAGGTAGGGGAGGAAAGGCTGGGAGGTTTAGACATGCGTCTGGACACTGGTGACAGGGGAGGTGTTGGAGGTGGGGTCGGAGGACTTTCTGTATCCCATGCAAAGTGACAAGTGTTCATGTTAGGGCTCCAAAGGCGGGCTGGCTTTGAGGTTGTGGTAGTTACAGGTAAAGAAGCAGAGTCTTCAGAGCTCCAATTTGCCAACCGCCTGGTTAGTGATCGTGGAAGAGATCTCGACCTCATTTTACCAGGTTCACTGGGGAAATATGACATTCGACAATCCTTAGTGGGGTGGAAATCATATTCTGTGGTCCAATCAGGAGTAATAGACCACTGATCCAAGTCCTTGCCAGTGACTCCACAAGTCAAAGCAGATTCAGAGAGATCACCCACACTCATGAACCTGGATCCAGTGGAGATGCGACCAGGCCCTGAAGGTCGACTGGACAGTACCGAACTCACAGAAAATGACCTCCCAGGCTCAATGCCATACTTTAAGTCTGCATAGGAGGATGCCAGGCTTTCCTTGTCCTGTCCTTGTCCTGCACTTGGAGGACCAGTGGATGCCCGGCTTCTCCTTGACCTACCCAAACTGATTCCCTCTACTGGCTCACATGGTGACGAGGATTCTCTGCGACGCTGTAGCTTTGGGCTGTAGAAGACACTGTCGTCTGTAACATCAGGTGAGGGAAATGGGGAGAGAGGGGAAAGAGAGGAGAATGGGGAGAAGGGGCTTCTGGGACTGGATGTGGACTTCATGAACTGAGAAGCAGAGGGGTTAGGGCTCCTACCAGGACTGGGATCTTTACAAGAAAGGATCTGGTTTGTTGGTTTAGAATCTGTCCTGTTGTCTTTGTAAAAGTCAAACTGCTGTGTTGTTGGGCTGAGGACTGTTAAATAAGGTTGGTTTTTATTTTCAGACATGTGTTCTGCACATGCATTTTGCTCGTCTAGGTCAGTTTCTGGAGTAGATATGTCTGACCAAATGCAAAACTTATCTACTGCCACTGTGCTCACAGAAGCTGAGGGTGGTATAAGAGTGTACCTGTTTTGTGTCCATTTATTCGTACCCTCTGTTTCCTTTTCATTGTCCTTCAGCACCATCCCTTTCTCCTGCTCACTCTCCTCTGGTGTTTTGGTACTCTCAACAGTGATATCACCGACACTGCTGATGTCACTTGATCCACTAATAGAAGGTGTTTGGGAGGCTCGCTTCCATTTCCATGGAAACAATACATCATCATCAGACCGTCTAGTGCTGAACGTTTGTCTCAGTCTGTTAAGGACCTGGTCCATTTTGTTATTAGTCTTGTTGGTCCTCTCTGACTCTGACCTTGATAAACTGGAGTTTGGTGTGCTGACACTTTTTTTCAGTGCAAACCGGCTTCTCTTTGGGCTTTGTTCATTGTTACTCTCCACTGAAAAAAATCTGCTTTTACCCAGAAGACTTTCCTTCATTCTTCTGGAAGAGCTTTCATCATCAGGGGGCTCTGTTGAGCTGCTAGCACTGGAGCTGTGTTCTGAATGATTGTGTGGTCCACCTGTGGTTTCCTTACCCTGTGCCATGTGTGGCTCTTGACTTAACTTGGTCTCCACAGAAACTGGTGTCTTTGCGGTATGTTGCAATGGTTTAGGTGTAGCTGTAGATGTATTTACTTTCGATTTTATGCTGTAAACCAGTGTCTCAGTTACACACGTTGAGGAGGAGTTGTGGGCCTTATCACCCTGCAGAGACTGTGGGCTGATCTGAACTCTGTTGTCAACAAGTAAAATCTGGCCATTCCGGTAATCTTGGTTGTTGTTCTTGCTGTGATTATTGTTGACTTGATCAATTTCTGAAACCCCACACTTTGAACTTTCTCGGGTGACAGTTTTGTTTTGGAAAGGCAAAGTCAGGGGCTGTGGTAGGCTCATAGGTGAAAGAGGGGATTTGAACGTGGGTATGGTCATGGCTGCAAGTGGGTCAGTATGTCTGGGAAGATGTGGGTTATAATTTGACTGTGAGTTTTGTTGGAAGAGGGGTGATCTGGGTGTTATAGTCTTAGTGTCTCCCTGTGTTGACCGAGTAGACATGAGAGTGGAGTAAGGTGGGGAGCTATATCGAAGCTTATAACCACTTGAAAAGTCAGGAGGGAGAGAGGGAGGAGCAGAAGAACGGCACTGAACAGAGCCAGACTCCACTGATAGTGTCCTCTCCTGTCTGGTTGTGGTCAAGTCCCGTCTTCCCTGATCAAAGATCATATGGTCATTAGATCTGTTCTTAGATCTCTCTCGTTCTCTGGATGCTAAATCAGCAGAGTCAGATGATAAGGATCGATACTTCCCTCCTTTCACCACCTGTATGCTGGAAGTCTTAGGCGAAGGGGAGCAAAAAGAAGACGTATTTGTGGCAGGACTGCTTGACCTTAGAAAGGAAAAGATGGATGGAGCTTTAACACTTCGTGGACATCCGGAGGGTGATTGGGGGCTCACTGGGACTGCAGAGGTCTCTGGCTCCTCAACTGCCATGGGCTCAGAATGCTGTATATCCACCGAGTCATCCCATGTTACTCGTCTCACTCTCTTACCCTTTACACAGGGAAGCAGTTTCTTTGATGTTTTTTCTGGGCTGTTTGAGAATGTCTTCCCTTCCTTAGGGCTGGAAGTCTCTGAATAGCTGGGGCTGGTAATGCTAGGGGTGGCAGGGGGGGTTAAGAGAGGGGAAATGGTGATGGTTGGAGAAGATGCAATAGCAGGAGTATACGGAGGCATGCGAAGGGATAGGCTAGGGGCAACTGAGGCTGGGGCATAGCTGCCAGCGGTAGCAGAAGAGGTGGTGGAAGCAGTGGATACAGGACTGTACTTTGTTTTAGAGAAAGCACTGACTGGGGGATTCAGACTGGGCACAGTTTTAGGATGGAATGGCCTGGGAACAGAAGCATAGCTTCTTTCAAAGCCAAGAGGTGTGGCGTTGGATGTGTAGGTGAATTTGGGTGTTTGGGAAGAAGAGCCAGTGTATGATGGAGCATGAATATTGGTCTGTGAAGCAACTGGATGAGAGTCAAAGGAGGAACTAGTGTTTGGGGTTAGGGGAAGAATAAAGGAAGTCTGACTACTGTGAGTGCTGGTGGTAGCAAGACAGATAGATGGTTTGGTAAACTTTTGAGAGTCTTTGATGTGAGGAGATATGGGGGTGCTGTTGGTTTTAGATGTACAATGATTATTGTGTTTGCTGCTGCTCTCAGTGGGTGTATTTGAGGCCTTGGAATGTAGAGAAGTAGGTGGTAATTCAGTTACATTTGCTGTAAATGAACTATTACTTACATCATGCTTGCTGAGATCTTTAGGGTGACTCAGTGTTGCTTTGCTAATTTTAGAACTAGACAAAACATCGGGCAAACTATGAGGCTTTTGTGGTTCTCTGTTTAAATTGAAGCCATAATGCTGCTTGACAAGCCTGTCTGATTCGTCAGGTAAAACCTCAACGTTTCTTTGTTTGAGGTTGTGAGTTCCTCCTTGTGTTTTCATAACAAGGTTCATGTTACTTTTGCGAACTGACTCTGTTGTGTTATTGTTGTCTCTGTTATTGGGGATTTGACTACCAAATCTTTTGTTGTCGGTCAGACTTATGGAGGCCAAGTCACTATTATCATTACAGGGTGGAACTAAGTGTGTGTTTGGCTTGTCTTTGATGTTCGTTGTATCATTAAGTGTTAGAGGGGAACTGCCCTCGTGGGTAACTTGTTTCCACCAGGAAGTGGATGCCAGTGTTGTCCTTCTAGGGAGGGCAGATTGATCATATGGGGAATGTCTCGGTGAAGTGACAGTGCTCTCTGAGAGTAGGTTTGTACTTTTGTCTAAACCCCTGGAGTTCTGTTGCCTCTCTGATGCTCTACTTAGAAATGCCTGTTTGGAACATGATAGACTAGGCTGTGTCCTATTTATTGTTTGAGGTTGTTGGGTGAAGGGCGTGTCTTCTGCGTCTTTGTTTCTGGGTGAAGTTGAAAAGATGCGTGTTTCAAATATATTCCTTTCTCTGTGATTGGAGGATGACTGGGAAAGGAAAGGCCCAGTTTCAGTTCTATAAGAAATGGATGATGGAGAGAGGAGGGGCTTTGACCTCTCTTGCTCATTATTATTGTTAAAAGTTTGAGAAAGGTGTGTTGTAAATAATTTTCCCTCTCGATCACTTGGCAAATTGCTCAGAAGCGAAGGATTTATCTCAGAGAGGTTGGAGGCTGGATTAGAGTTCCTGCCATTTGAGTTTAATCTTCTTAGCGACAGAAGTAGACTGCTGGTGGTTGGTTTTGAGCTTAAAGATGACAGTGCTCCTTGATGACCAGTTGTTTGTGGATTCCTTCTTTGTTCATTTGGACCATGGGAGAGGGGGGACAGGGGGGATGCAGTTATGGCTACATGGTTTAAAGCACCTGCATCTATGTTTCTATTGTTCATCCTTCCAGAGTTTACATCCAAAGAGACAGTCTGAATCATTTTCCTCTTAGATTCATAGTCCAAGCTTGCTGGACCACTTTTAGTTGACCAGCCAACTGTATTCCTCCTGGTCCCCAAAAATGGCACCCTTGTTTGGGCTTGAGACCCATCTGTCAAGGACCTGTCCACAGTGTCTTGAAAGAGGTCATGTGTGCGGTTTGAAGCAATGTTCGTCACATCTCGTAAATTCCCCACGGTTTCTGAAGTGCTATTTCCCTCAAATCTTTTGGTCCGTCTTAGTCTGCCACTCCAGTGTGGGGCAAGAACTGTTACCACAGTTGAAGACAACATGGTTTGAGTAGGGTTGTATAGTTCCACAAGATCAGTTTGTTTCTCAATCTTTGTATGGTCTTGTATATGTTCTAACTCAAATGATCTAGTGCTAGTCCTTGGTTGTGACCCACATGAAAGTATAGGCACGCCATTGCGCTCATGTGTGCCAGACTTCCCATTTGAGAAACTGTGAGTTATACTCAAGTCCGTGGTAGTCTTTAGTTCATTGCAAACCCCTTCCTTCTTTGCTGGAAATGGTATCCTTTCAGATAATGGAGAGTCACTGGTTACCTTTATAGAGGTGTCTGTTGGTGATGTTTGTCCATTAACCTGTTAAGAGAAGAAGAATTACTCCAAGTGTCCAGATTGTATACAATTTTTTTATTTGCCAAACATCTGGACTGTGCATTAGAATAAAGGTTTGTATTTTCTACTTTCTAACAATTCATATGACTGCACTGTAACCACAGACCATTTCTAGCTGTATCATTAAAGCCCAACTCTTTTCATATGTCAACTTGAGCTTATCATTTCATACCAATGCAAATTATGTGCACACTAAAGTAAATTATTTTCTGCATTTACATGAAGTACGCAACAGTGGCCTGTTATCTATACTGCAAATTGTGTGTTCGTAGAAGCCAGAACTTTGCTAAAGCTTCTGTTCCCATGGTGTAGCTATTTAAGAGATTCAGGCCTTGACAAACAGGTTATTTTGAAAGACATGAGAGATTTCCAAGGACACACACACACAAAAGCACACACACCCTGTCCCTTTTAACTCTTACAATAATAATGAATCTCAGATGTTTTCCAGAGTACTCAGTGTCACTTACTGTGATGTTTTCACAGGTAACTACATCATGTCAAAAACGTTCAGTGGCTTTAAACTTGTTGCCTTATATTAGGCAATGTAAGTAGTAATATATTATGAATATTTTGAATTAACTGGGAATGAAAGGTACAATTTATCATTTGTTTTAGATGGTGTTTTACATTATAATGATTTCAGCACAAGCCCTAAAACATTGTGATTTTAATGATCAAGATTACGGCTAATTCTTACCTGACAGCTGCTGTTCTCAGTCTCAGCCTTCTGTGTTTCAGTTAATCTGGCAGAACAGAAGAGAGAGAAGACGTAAAAACCATTAGGCATACTAGTTTGGTTTACACCTGTCGCTTAACTGTAGACATCTGTAGGCAGTTGTTGGATTTCCTTAAAAAAAAAAAGGACAGTCACACATCTCTGACATGATGAATATGACTGCTGTGGGGCTTTTTTATAGTTGCTGCACAAAAAAGGGTTACAGGAATATGTTTTATTATTGTTATTGCTGGGCGTGTCATGCATTAAAAAAACAAAGGCAGCAAGGAATAAATGTGACAAACTAGTTAATCATCTAGGTGACATATAGAGGACATGTAAGTTTTGATACATGTAAGTAATTTAAGTCATAGACACTTTACTTGTTTCAGACTCATGTCTGAGATAGGGGATTGGCAAGACTTCACTGGCATTAGGGGACCATCGAGCTAATTATATTATAAACATGATAATTATGGTGTTCATAATTTTTCTGCTGAGAAAATAATAATAATAATAATCTATATCCATAATCTATTTATTAAACTTACAAAAAAAGATGTGTAATTCATACACACACCTGTATTCTGCACTAAAATATTTGGAGGAGTAGACATTCGCCACAGCAATGCTGATCAACGGGATGGTCAGCATTCCTCTCTCCGTCCCTGTCTCTTACTAACAGTTTTCTCACGTTCGCATGTGCACTTAACACCTCATGAGCATTTATCAAAACACTTACATTGGTATTTTTATGTTGGACATGGATCACACATGTGCATGCTGTAGACACACTCAGTTCACACACTCAGCACAAGATGTCTATATAAGGTCATGTTGGATGGTATGAAAAGACTGTAGGTGGCCAGCAGACAGTTAAAGAGGTGCGTTCTCTCTTGAACCAGCCAGCTTGATCAATGACCTCTATTGACAAGGCTATTGTAATCTCTGGCACACATTGCATCACACTTAAGCATGCAAATATGCTCCAGGAAAATGTGCAGCACATAGTTTTACAAACCACTTCCACCACACACAAGCTCAAATCAATCATCTGATATTAGGTAGGTAGGTATTATTATTATTATTATATTAGATTATATCTGAAGAAAAAGTTTATTTCCCCCAGAAAAAAGTCTAACATAAAATGCCCTCTAATTCTCTTGTATCTCTGACTTGAGGAAGTACGGTCATGCAAAAAATGAGTCCACAGGTGGATGATTTATAACAAAGAAGGTAAGGACAATAAAATCAGGCATCCTGAAAGGGTGGTAGAAGCTTCTTATCTTCCTCTGCCTCGATACCAAGGCATGGACTGTGAAGTTAAAATGCAAACATATATCTAACACTCACAGACAAACACACATGTCTAACCTACTCTCAGGGGTTACATAATTGGATGCACTTCCTTGTTTATCGAAAGAGACGACCCTTCCAGATAATGTGTAGCAGGCTCATGTATGCAGACAGGGTTAAGCCGTTCAGTTACTGTTTGACAAAATGTTGGTGACGACTTAAGATTTCATTGCCTCTGAGCATGGTCCAACCATTAGTGCCAGGTGTACCTATTTCAGACCTCAGAAACAGCTCCTGGGGCGTTGGTCTGTACTTGCTAATTATGATGCGACAGACATAAAGAGCCCCATTGGTGGGAAAGTTGGGGAATAGCAAGAACCATTTAAGATAAGAAAAAATGGCAAATAAATACATCAGGTCAGCAGTGATGTGTAGACGGATACCTTGGGAGACACAGCTGGTCAAACCTTGAAGACGACAAACAGCAACAGTAACAGCTTCTAATCCATTTTTCTTACAACACAGTGAGCTGATGAGCTACAGAGAATACTGTACATGAAAAGAAAACTTGACCACTAGATGAAAACACTGCCAGACCTGATTAATCCTGAATTCTGCTGCACTATAATGATTGCACCACAAAAAAAACAACGTAAATAACATAGACCTAACATTGCAACGTGCTTTGTGTCAACAGTACAGAATGACTGTGTGCAATTAAATGTTTTAGTGGCACACATTAAGATCTATTTGTACCGAGAAGCCTATGAATCATTTGAATGTGATATTGACACTTATGGCCCTTATGGGCTTAAATATCTCAGCAAAATATTATTTCGTTCACTATACACAGACACATAGATCACGCCATAATGACACAATGTCCTGCATGCCAAAGCAGAACAAGACTAACAGAGTACCCTGTTATTCCTTAACTATGGAGCAGGAAAAAGAATATATTAATGAGTGATAAGGGTTAGTAACACTTGTCTCAGGGCAAATGTATTCCTTTTTAATTGCTTACCTGTGTAGACAGGGATCTGAATTCTTCTTGGGTCTTTGCTGTGGGTTGTCAAGGCTTTGTTTGCTGGAGAGTCTAAGGAAGAAGCTGGAGGTGAATCTGGGTCCAATTTGCTTCTGGTTCTGGACCTTTGTATCACCACAATGAGCAGCCTCTTCCTTTCTTAGTCTGCCTGCTCTTGGTGCTGTAGTAGATTCAGAATAAGACATTATATATTGGTCATTAAAATAATTGAGGCTAAATAGACTATTGAAGTGCTCCTAATTCCTGTGTCTTAAATATTGGGCGCCATGTGTGTTTGATGTGCATGTCACCTTTGTGTGCTTCTTCCTGTCGGTAGGCTGATGGGTGAGACTGCTGTACGGTTATGGTTTCATCATCATGATGATTCTCCTGCTTGAACCTTTCACCGAATGTTTCATCCCGCTGTTCTCTGGAAAAAACAAAGAAAACCCCCCCAAGAAAGTCAAAAATCGAGGACAAAGACTTTCACTCATGCAGAAATGCTAAATATTTTCTGGCTCCAACCCATCAATAAGGCAGCTGGGGCAGTGAGTGCCTTGCTGAAAAGCATTTATAGTTAACACAAGGAGAAAATGTGAATCATACTGTATGGCACGTTCTGATTCCTAGGTCAGCGTCAGATTTCTTGGGTTGATAGCACCATCATAACACTAGACAGATGTATCATAAGTTATCGGCCACGTTGTGCCTCAGTTATCAGAGGTGGGTAGTTAGAGTTACATTTACTCCGTTACATGTACTCAAGCAAATTTTTTGAGTAAATTGTGCTTGTCAGAGTAGTTTTAATGCATCATACTTTTACACTTATTTGAGTAATTTTTTTAGAGAAAAATCATTACTTTTACTCCACTACATTTGGATACATGCATGCTTGCTACTTCGCTACTTATTTATTTATTTACCGCAGTCAAGCATCCACAAGACCCTGTTAGAACAGTATGCATTTAACTAGTTATGCTCGTTGCTATAGCCTGATGAAGACAAACCAAACACAAAAGACAAACTACTCGTTTATTTAGTGTTTATTTCGAATATATGTAAAACAAGAAAAAATGAAATATGATTAAATTACACAATAATAAATAAATGAATAACAATAGTTAATAGTTACAGCCAAAGAAATTTTTTGAAACTCTTGTGGGAATAAGACAAAAAATGTATTTAATCCCATTATTGTGGATGTGACTGATGTAATGTTTCAACCACTTCCTCGGGTAAACCTGAAGAGGTGAACACACCTTTATCTGATAGGCCATGAATTATGAAACACAAATTATCTCCTAATTTGATTTGTTTGCCAAATCATAATTTAATATCAGGGACAACAAGTAATTAGATATTTTTAAACAATCTTTACTTATTGAAGTACTAACAAACTGGAATCCTAATGCAATATTTTGTGATCACACTTGATCGATACACACTAGGAATATTGTCCTGGTGTAAATGTGGTTATCTAATCAGGAGATGATGAGTTGTCATTTCATCACAAATAAATACAAATGTATGTTCACTTCTTTACCTTTACCTGAGGAAGACCATCTGAAATAACTCTAGTCACATCCACATCAAATAAAAGACTTGGGGAAAATTACCCAAAGTTACTCACTCAAGTAATATTTTTAGTAGTAGTAGTTATTTTGATGACCACTTTTACTTGAGTACTTGTTTTTGCAATGTAACAGTACTATTACTTGAGTACAGGTTTGGGCTACACTACACACCTCTGTTAATTATAATCCCCACAGTAACAATATGTACCTGTATCAGAAACCTAAAGATTAAAACACAAGCAGCTCATTCTGACAAATCACACTTTTTGTGGTCCCCACATGGGCCATAGCTCCGAGAAGCACTTACACTTTTGAGGAGCTGCATAGGCTACGTGCATTGGCTCCATAGATAGACTGTACAAACACAAAGCATCAAACATATAGTATCTTGCCCCATTAAAATCATGGCTTTCCAGTCCCAGATAAGGTTGCAACTTTTGCTTTTATTATCGATTCATGCTTTTTTTCTTGATTAATCATTTTAAAGAATGCCAGAAAATTGTGAAAAATGTCCATTATATATTGCTTGAGCCCAGGTCTCATCTTGTGTTGTCCAACAAACAGTCCAAAACCCAAAGACATTCAGTTTACTATCATATGACAAAGAATCCTCACATTTGAAAACATATAGGCTAACCAGTAATGGTTTAATCAATTAATCATATCATATCCTAATGTTCAATGCAGAATTACATACACTATGCTCTTTCTCCTGCAATGTAATTTGTAACCCGGCAGATGTTTTAAATTAGTGCTAAAGGTATACTGAAGGAAAATCAAACAGCCATGCTCCCCTTATCTTATATCAGATCAGCAGCGCTGGAATGATAAGCTGTGCTTATAAGCTGTGGTTATATAACAATTCGACTCTGCTCACTCCACACTTTCTCTTACAACCAGAGCACAGAGCTAACACACCCACTCACACAGTCACTAAAGCATGCATATGCACATTTACTGCTGCAACCCAACGCTGAACCCACGCTAGTGTGCCATCTGCAGAGCCCGATGACACAAGAACAAATATGAGGCGGTTATCTGAACATGAATGTATTGAGTCACTGCAGCCTTTGTTCATTATCATATTAAATGACACCAATTATCTGTCACAGGACATTCCAGGATAACTTTCTCCCCTTTAATCAGATTCAGCAGTTCATCAGCGGATGGAAATTGCTGCTTAGCTGCTTTATCCCTATGGTGCTTTGTGTGATCACAAAGTAAAGCACGACCTTTCTTAATAAAATGGACCACCTCTACCTATCTCTATCCACCTTGCCTTCAGGGGCGACTCATTGTCTTGATTACAGCTTAATCTCTGTCAGGCCTGAGACATAAAAGCCTGACATGACACAACATGAGAGAAAAGCAGAGAGAGATATGAGGAGGGAGGGAGATCTTCAGGCTCTTCAGCTGCTACTTCAGTGCCAAAGACAACACTCCTTCCATGTGGATGGTACTGAGTGGTTTAATCCTACCTCTCCCGGAGGCAACAGAACAAAATCATATCACATCAAACCAATATGAGTGCTTGTAAACGAGTAAGAAACCATGTTTGGATAGCTGAACTAGTAAGTGATAGGCCTGTAACGATGGAGCATGAGTTGTTTAGACAGCACAAACTGAAACCTCAGAGTTTACACTACAGTGGACATGTGTTCACCATTTGTTCTGTCAACCTATACACACACAGGCATTGTTTTGTGTGACCACCCTTTGCCTTCAAAACAGCGTCAATTTTTCATGTCACAAGAACAAAGTCAGATCCTTGCTAGTTTGGGCTGCATTTCTGCAAACAGAGTTGGGGATCTGGTCAGAAATAATGGTCTCCTAAATGCTGAGACGTACAGGAAGTTAGTTATTCATCATACAATACCATCAGGGAGGCATCTGATTGGCCCCAAATTTGTTCTGCAGCATGACAATGATGACAAACTTACAACAAAAAGTCGTTCAGAACTATCTTCAGCATAAAGAAGAACAAGGAGTCCAAGAAGTGAGCCTTGATCTCAACATCATCCAGTCTGTCTGGGATTTCATGAAAAGAGAGAAGCAACTGAGGCTGCCTAAATCCACAGAAGGACGTAGTGCGTAGTTCTCCAAGATCTTTACGCCAACTTACCTGCCAAGGTCCTTCAAAAACTATGTGAAAGTCCACGAAGAATTAATGCTGTTTGAAGGCAAATGGCAGTCACACCAAATATTGATTTGATTTAGATTTTTCTTCTGTTTACTCACTTTTACTCACATTTGTTATTGATAAATATAATCTACTTACATGTTTGAAAGCATTCTTACTTTACAGCATTTTTCCAATTATAATTCTGTTTGTGTGCTGATTTTCCTCCTAAACATGTTTATATGTTTTTAAATATTTTATCGGGCTGCATCTGAGGGCTGTTCTCATTATAGATTAATCAGATGATTATTTTTTGCCATAAATTGATTAATTATTGTCTGTCACAATTTCTCAGAATCCAAGAGCTTCTCCACAATACTTCCAGGTACCATCTAATGACTGTTGAAGAAACTGCAGTACAAGTATCCCCAGTTGAGAATCAACAAATCAATTGATATGCATAAAATGAACTTACAAGTTTGATAATCCATTAATGGTTTAATTAAGTCACGCAAAACATGCCAAACATGTCAAACATGTCAAACATGTTCTAGTTCCAATTTACTCAAATGTGAGGATTTCTCCATTTAATGTCCATTTTTTTTATTTTCTAGCATGACATGATGATTATTTGAGAAAAATAACTGCATGTTATTTAGACTGTGTGAACAGTGGCTGTTTGTTTTGATGGTTTAGCGAGCGGGTGACTAATTGTTATCTTTGAAAGCCTCTTTGGGCTGCTTCATTATGTGCAGTCTGCCTTGTACAAGTATGCTGGTGTATTCTTCACTTGAGGTCAGCCTCACTGTGGGTGTGTGCCCATTTCTGCCAGCTAACACTTATATAACCACAAGGATCTAGCCTGAACTACAGTGTGGGTGTGTACTCAACACTGACAGATGCATTTTGTTCCAAATACTGCCAAAGAAACACCCTAAAGAAACACCCTCAATTTCTTTTGAAGATTCATCCAAAGAAATCTTAATGACTTTGAAATAACTACATCAGTGACAACAAAAGGTGGCCAGGACAATGTGAGACTTGTTCTATTTGCTGCCACACCTTCGGTGTCTGTCAGACTTCCAGAAGAGCTGTAATCTTTGAACCTATAGATGGGTATAGGCTACAGTAGTTTAGAGGGTATTAGCAGGAGGATGTGCAGATAATCACTAGAGAGCTCTGGACATGCACAGGCAGCAGCACAGTGTATCTATCCATGGCAGATCTGTTAATCTGCAGGCATGGGTGTGCATGTATGAGCTTGCCTGCTAAGCCACTGAAGCTCAACTGCTCCAAAATACATCTACCTAATGATGCTGGTTTACAGTGTTAGTTAAGCCTACAACTATGTACTAACCTACATTTGTAAATGTTGGCTCAGGTATGCATGTTAGGGTAAAAAACTGGATACATAATGAATCCATGATACATAATATTACAGCACTGAGTCCATAAACCTACGTTCAGAACGTGCTTGGATATTTCCTATATTCAACCTCTGGAAAGTTAACAGGATCCCATTCAGGCCTACGTCAAGTTTTATTTAGATGACCATGTCACATCAAACCTTAAACATTTGGCAACTTGCTTAAACCAAGGCCACTGTTCATCGCCGTGACACCTAAGTAACCTTTATCCCAAAAAAGCATAATAAAACGTACTTCCACTTTCTTTAAAAGTTATTCCCGACTCCTTCTGCTACTGTCAAAGACAGTATGGTGGGCAGTGTCGAGCAGTGAACCAAGTGTACAATGTTAAACTGATGGAATAACTTAATGCCGAATTTACTAAAAGCAGGTCAAGAATCGTGAGGTGTTTTTGTTTGGCTCTGAGAGACATATATGTTTCCAGACACGCGGTGCAACATTAAACATCCACATGTATGCACGCAGTTCGGCGTGTTTCTCTCTCCCTTCAAAACTACAGCTCGCGTCGCGGCTAAAAAGACTCCAGCAAGCAAACGGATATGAAAAAGTGCGAAGCAACATTAAACAGCTCGACAAGAAGCACAACAAATACAGGATTTAAACACAGTTTAACCTACCGTGCAGTTGTATTCCGTGTTGCTCGTGCTGTCCTGTACAGAGGCGTAGCTGTATCTCCTCCTACAACTCTGAGCTCCAGCTCTCCTGCGTCACTTGTTGACATCCTATTTTAACCGGTTCGGTAAGCCTTCAGGATTCAGACGGACGGGACAATGCATCTTAAAAATGTTGTGTGGAATTTACATCAAACGTACCCGTTCACGTCAGTGTCACTGACAGGTGAGCGGCGGGACAAGTGCCACCATGAAAATACTGGCTGCGTCCCTTTCCAGAAAGTCCCCACCCGGTCATTTCCTTCTTAGGACACAAGACAAAGACTCAAGACACCCAAACCTTTCGATCAGCTACAAAGAGACTAATATCCCTAAACTATAATCAGAAATTATCGTGTTTTTGCAAATTTGTTTTTATGTACAACCTTTAACACAAGCTCCTTTATAAATCACAAGATACACATGTGCAACTGTAATTCAGAAAACACAACACCACTCAAGTCATTATAACATTGTATTGCACTGAGGTGTGCACAGATTGGTTAGATAGGTGGTGCTTTATTCCAAGGAAGGAGTATATGTTTCTCAGAAATGAAACCATGTGACTTGTCTGATAAGTAGCCTAATCTAAAAGATCAATAAACAAGATGCATTCGGGAAGAATGACTCAGGACGTTTAATTCAATCACCAACTGGGAGAAAGAAGTGAATTTAATCAAATCACCAGAATTATGGAATCACATGGCAATACATGGAAAACTACAAGATCATTAATTTAGAGAGAGTACTTTTGGAAAATTCAACTACATAATTTCTTTATAACATTGTTTTCCAAGTAAAGTATTCCAAGGATGCAACACCATGTTGCTGTGTGGGGAGATAGAAACCACACATGTGTTATTTGTTCCTGTCCAGTTTTGCAGCAATATTGGACTTAAAATGAAGCTAGACACACTTTTTAACTGGACACTCTTTATGGGGCCCGAGCCATTATTATTTGGTAGAACACCACAGCTGATCTCACAACAAATTGTATATCTTTAGAGTTTTAACAACAGCAGCACTAAGGCTGACTGAAACCAGAGGTGCAACAACGAAACAAATGGAATGACACAATTAACAAAATCTATAAAATGGCGATAAGAAATCACAAGATTACCTAAACTGATTGAAACAAAATGGGGGAGAATACAGAAAACAAAAAAAGCGATATACAGAACTTTAAGATAGGCTATTTATTTTTAGATGTTGATACTATGGGCTGGGGTGTACAGGTCATATTATAAATGGGTTTTCTTTTAGAAATCACTACTGTAAGGGATCACAATTTAACAAATAAAGAGTACAAAAAGAGACTCTGTGGCAATAGATTTCTCTTTTGCGTTACAAAACAAGACAAACATGTTGGATGTTTTTTCTCTGTCAGACTTCCACACCCCTGCACATCACCTGCCAGAAACTCTTGACAGCTTTGGCTCAGTTTCTGCAAAACAGTGCCCTCTTCCTGTTCTGACCTACCTTCATATTTGCAGACGTAAAGAAGGCATTTTCTCCTTGTGTACAACGCAGGAAGTCTTGTTAATGCTAAAATATAACAATCATTTAGGTTTCAAGCAGCAAAACAATGAGTATCTGCAAATCTGTGTTCGGTCCTACTTAATGCAGCCCTGGCCTAAAACCTCACAAAAAATGAAGACTATGAATTTTGCAAGAAATTGTACCGCTTGTGGCTCCTCTATGTGGCAGTGGACCAAATAACTAACAGTAGAGGAAGGAACATTTTAGAGTGAGACTCAGCCTGAGCTGGACAACATTCTCCTGTCTTGGCTGTTGCATGCTCCTCAGCATTAACAAGTGTCTCTCAATAACACACTGACACTGGATGGAAATGTAGGATATATAATAGCTGACTGTCTAAAACAGCAAGGCTACAGGGCAAAGCCAATATTCATAGTAACATTTAATGAATACACATGAATTAATTATTCATTCTAAAAAAAAAAAACAGTCTTGAAAAATACATTAACACAAACTGCAAATTTATAATCTAAATCCTGCAAAATGATCCACTTGAATTGCCATACCCTGATCCACTCAGTACACAATAAGAGAGTTTCCCCATACAGCTTAAAGAAGTTCACAGTCTGTATTCCTGTTCATCTCAGCTTATTAGCTTCAGATATACTGTGGAACAGAATGTCTGTGGATTTTCTCCCCCTGAACACTGGAAGCACGTTAGGAGGGGATCTTTTAATGGCCAGTATGACCAGGAGAAATAATTACAGTAACTCTTCTTTTAAGTCAGACTTTTAGTGAGCCTATCCTTTTATTGAATTCGTCTGGAATTTTAACAATGAAATTGATCCTGTTCCACAAATCCAGACAATAACTTACATTTTTAATTATTGTTACTTACAAACTGATATTGATATGTACTAAAAAGAGGCTGATACAATGATAAAATAGATTGAGGAGATGCTTGGTTTAGGTGACTGAACTAGTCTGTTGTCTGATCGAGGTGCAATTTAAAAGGCAACCAGGGGAGGTCAGTGTTGCTTTACAGGAAAAAACCCACAACGTTGGATGACAGACATGGCAGCGGTTCAGTGATGCAACTTGACAAAATAATTTAATCTAGTTGATCATAATTATATAATTATATATTATAGTTATGACGTTTTATTACAGTATAATTACATTAAAATAGTTGTAGGCAAAATCTGACAACTTCATTAATATTAGTTGTGTATGGGTTCAGATATCAGAATCAGGATAAGATTCTGCTTTATTGCCAGGTATGTGTACACATACGCGGAATTCGACTCAGGATTGTACATTGCTCACGATGTGCTTACTCGTACAAAAATACCATAAACCAATTATAAAATAATAATAAAATAAAATCAGACACAAACTACAGTATAGACAACACTAACATACACACCATGAACAAAACAATACAGACATGTCTGTTATAATAAAAAATTTCATGAAAATTTCATGCAGTAAAACATGGTTTCAGCCTGCGCAGTAATTCGGTAAACATAATCCATTCACAGTGGTTTGGAGAAACTCTATCACCCCCCACCCCACCCCTCCTCCCACAGAGGATGCAGGACAGTGCGAGTGGTCCTGAGCTCTGACTCCTGATGGCATAGACAAGTGGCCGCGATCATCACGTGGACAGTCAGAAATCACGCTGCGGGATCCGATTTCTGTTCCTTTTTTAATCCCTGGCGTTTCCCTCCAAATCCTTCGCACATTTTGTCTCATAAGACCATGACGGAACTCGGACTTGCACGTTTGGGATAATTTTAATAATGGTTCGCTTCAAATGTACACTTCCACGGAGCTGCAGCTGAGGTTATATTCAAAGTCCGACTGGATTCTCACAGCGTGATGGATACAAATGAGTTCGCAGTACTGAAACTTTTTGTTGTTGGGATTTTGGGTGAGTATGATTGATTTTCCTTTTTTTTATTTTTATTTTCAGAACACGTTAACGTCTTAAAACCTTCCCCCACAACGCTAAACTCCATCAATAGGTTGACATGTCATAGTATCACACTAAAGCCCTGCGTGTTAAGTAGCTTTTGCACACTTTCCCACTATAGTCAGATGTCTAATGCAGCAGTAAATTATTTCGTGCTCTTCTACAAATGCTCAAGCTGATCACTGTTTATTCACAGCTGCAAATTGCATGCCATGCTTCTATATATAAGGCACTATATGCCGCTCAACACTGCCTGAGTGTGTTAGGCTGCAAAGTGCACATAATTAGGATTACTAAGAAGTATCAGGAACATCAATCACATCCCACAGCACTGAATGGGGAATATACAGTGCTGTACCAGGGCATCACGCCCCAGTGGATAGACCTGACCTATATCGTGGCCAATGGGAATTTCTGGATCTGGCTCATTAACTGGTGGTGCAAGGATGAAATCATGTATGAAATTATGTTTCATGTGGTTGTGGCTGATGAATCCACTGCTGAAAGGCATACACCAGTTTAACAGTTGTTGTGATTAAGATGTTTACAGTTTGTACTGTGTCCTGCTCCATATCAATGCCAGAGTGATGCTGGGCATTGATTGAGATGAGTCAAAGAGGAATTTAGATAATCTGCTGTTGTTACTAGAAGCCCTATGATGTCCTACTACCTACTGTAGTAGTAGTAGCAGTATCAACAGAGCTGAAGCAGTGCTATGACTCAGTGATGAAGAGGAGTTCATATATTGAGCTGGTTTTCGGCACAGTGACTCTTTGCAAGATCTAGTTAAACAGGCTCCTAAGAGAGCAGTTGTCAAGCTGATATTTGGTCTTGTTGCCATCTGGTCTAAAGTTGAGTGAAATTCCCTGCCTTCCTCCCATGTGGACACACAAGCCAGGTGATACAGGATTTCAATTTCAAGGTCTATGTGGTTCAGTAAAGACCTGAGTACGTAAACCTGAAGGGAGATAAATGACAAATGCATGGATCCACCATGCTTTAGGGAGTCCTTTTACTAGATTTTATGGGTACAGTAGACAGGAGGATGTGGTCTATGTCTGGCCAAGACCTTCAGCCTGAACTCCACTGGATCTATGCAACATAACAGCACTGTATGGCAAGCAGAAAAAAAGCTTAGACTGAGGATTTATGCTCAGTCTCTCAAAATGCTGATTCTAGTGTGACGGCAAACAGGTGAAAAAAAGATTTATGTGCAATCAAACTGTCTCTCATATGTGTTTTGGGTGTCCAAAAATGACAAGTGGGGTGATTTCACTGCAGCTGCTTTGATCAAAGCAATGAAAAGGTTATATCCCAATGCTGGAAAAACATGCAGCAGTGGTTTCCTGTGATAGCTCTTGTCTAGACGGAAAGAGTTTCCCATTAAGATCCCCACTGGGAAGAAGAAAGATGCAGACCTAATTAAAATCAAACCAAGTCGTTCGGATTTGTTACATTCAGGCTAAGACCACTGTGGTTTATGCAGTACAAGGTCCCCATCTACATGGCGGAAAAAAGAGCGATTCCCACTGACTGAAGCATCTGCTTACCCCAATAAACAGCTATTTATACACTCTCACAGCAAGGGATAATGCCTTGAGGTTCTTCTGTTCCACTGCCATCTGAAAAAAAAAAAACATTGTTGTGAAAACATGATTTTGTGCTTTTTGTAAAATGATATTCAAAGACCTGTGGTGAGATTTCAGTGGGTTGAGTTCATTTCGGTGCATGTGGCTGATGTTGGATGTTGTTATACACGGTGGTGTTTATCACCTGCACGTTCCAGGAATGAAATGCTTTCAAGTTTAGTAATCAAGGCAAATCATTTGCAAAGTGAAAAAAAGTGAGATGTTACTTTTGGTTAGACATCAGGAACAGGGATTTTACACTATTCTGGTTTTGCCAAAGTGCAACATCAATTAACAAAGTGATCAGTTTACATTTGTATTTTCATATTTTCATTTGTTCAGCCAAAAGGAGAAATCTGCTATTTTTCTAATTGTCACCAAATCCAACAATGAATTTATGATATAAACAAGTATTGTCTGTGTATCCAAAGCCTGATATATCTTGTTCCTCTGAGACATAGATCTCCATTGTTATTAAAAAACTATAAACAACACATCAATCAACCACACTGGGCGACATGTTTCTTCATCACCATGAACACCCACACTGTTTTTATTTTTAACTCAGTCCCACATACACCGTCCAGCTATTGTAAATAAATCCAACACTGAAAGTAGTCCCCACCACATGCGCTATTTAATCCCATTTGAGTAACATTTTAATACATTACATTCTTTACACGTTTACAATCTATAACTTTGTCATCCTGATTGTCCATACTGTAATGTTATTATGTTGGTCTATTCTGTATACACAACATCTTATTGCAAGTTTGTCCATCCTGGGAGAAGGATTCCTCGTTTGTTGATCTTTTTGAGGATTCAGACATCAGAACCATGAATCTTCAAATTTGTAAAATTTGTCATGTGTAATTGAAGTTCCTTTATGGGTTGAGCTTTTTTTTCGTTGCTTGTGAAAATTGGATGTTTTGGAGATTGGTTTTCACAGGAGAGTGACAATTTGATATTTCTCCAGCTGTTTTAAAAAATATTTTGAAAGAAAGGATGTATTCATGACATTTACGACTAGGCTTGGGTCTGAGTGTAACAGACAGGGGAAGTACGGAGAGACAAAAAATAATGAAATATTGCAAGCCTTATTCTTTAAACTATACTCAGTTACAATAACACCCAGATGTGTGATCAAAAGATACATGGAGTCAGAGGAGTGATGTCTAGTCAGAATTGAGAAAATCTGCCACCTACCACCAGGTTAGAAATTTTAATAAAAGTTGCAAAAAGGTCTCTGGTATTCACTATACTTACTTACAAATGAGGAAATAGCTAAATATCATAAGAATATCTGTGATTTTGTCCAGACTATAGATTGTACTTGGTTTATTCTGCCATTCGGATGTGCACTTTATACATATATAGTTAAACAGGTAAAGCATGACGCTGACTCACAGACACTGTTACATTCGAGCTTCCACCATTACTCAACTGCAGTGCAAGCATGTTAAGAACATTATAAATAATTCAGTTTCCTGTTAAAGATTCATGCATCAGAAGGGGCTTGAACTTTGTCTCTTCACTTGTCCCACTCATATCAATGTCTAATGCTGAGTTCTTGCTGACTCCAAATCACAGAGTGTTACTAAGCACCATATGGTCAACAGATTGCAGAGGAGTATTACAATTTATATAGTAAATGGTAATGGTCTGTATTTGCATATTACCTTTCGATTCTTTGAGACCACTCAAAGTGGTCTCACCACGTCACATTCAGCCATTCACACACACATATGTGGCAACCACTGGAAGTTTTTGGGTTCAGTATCTTGAAATGGGGGGATCGAACCACCAACCATCGGGTTAGTGGATGACCGCTCTCCCGCCTGAGCCATAGACGCCCCAGATGCGCCTACTTGCTTATTGCCTTTCTGTTATGACTAGTAATCCAGCTGACCTTTCCTTATATAAAGGTTTGAGGAAAAAGTTATTTGAAGCTGCTGTCTGCTTCCATCAGTTTAGATTAGAGCTTATCTCACACACCGCAAATAATGTTGTTACATTACAAATATACTTTCTATTTGTATAAACTGTGAAATAATTAACTAAACATGGGGCTCAAGGAATACCTACACAAAGATTCAGTATTCTGATATGAATTGTATTAATGCAGCAAACTAGAGATGTAATATAAAATTCAGTCGTAACTATTTTGATGGTTGATGAATCGTTTATGTCATTTTTATTAAGCAAAAATGCCAGACATTCATTGGTGTCAACAGAGTTGGAACATGACGGTAGTTAGTTGACTCCTTATATCAGACTATAGGAGATCTCGACAGAGGGCAAGTGGGTTTTCTGCCGAAGACCAGTAAGATTTCCAGAGAATAGTATAGATGGTAATGAGCACCATTAGACCAAGCGCTGAACTGAATGTATAACTCAACACTGAGTCTGAAGACTGAAATTAATAGATGATAGACTGAAAATAGTTAAGTTGATGACAGGCGAGGGACACTTAATGATCGGAAGTCACATTATTCACAGAAGACAAAATTGTTTTGGTCATGCAGCCAAAAAGTAATTTTCCACTTAAGTTAGTTTAAATGACAGCATCAGAGACATAATGTAATGAGTTGAAGCCGTCGGATGAATTAAATGAGGATCATACCCAACACTTTCATATCTATCTCGGTTTATCAGTCTGTTAAACAGTTATCCACTGCACCCTGAGTGCGTCTGCATCAGATACAACAAGTTGTCAAAACATCACAGGAATCATTTACAAAGCTTTTTGATGCTTTTTGTTTGAAACTGTCCTTTGTGAGTCCAACAGTGTTATAGGAGAGCATGCTTAATCAATGAAGTCCTGTTTTAATATGTTAGGGTTTTAAGTAGAGTACACACATTGTAAAGAGGATGGTCCAAAAACCTTTATTTTTAAAAAGTGAACGTTCAATCACCCACCCTAAGAGATTACAATTTGAAAGATCAGTCATTAGATACCAGTTACTAATCACAGCTAGGGCTGCAGCTAACGATGATTTTAGTATTCGAAGCTTCCATGGATTCTTTCAACGATTCATCGATGCGTCGTTTAAAAAGTACTTTTGCTTGGTGGCGGCGCCCCCCCTACCACGTTTTGCCAAGAAAACACATGTGAATTGCGAAACAGGAAATGAGCGATCCTGCACACGAAACAGCTGTTTGTTATTATAAAGATGGCAATTATAAAGACAAAGAATATGGGTGAAAGGACGGATTAGCATACACAGGTAGCAGGGATTGTCTGAGCTACAGAGAGAGCTGGAGGTGAGTTAAAAGGTGCAGCTCCCCGACACCCAGTTAACAAATGACTGTGATGTTACAACTCACGTC